ACCCGCAGCCCCATGGGTGTGCCGCCACTCCCCCGTCACCCCGGTGCCGGATGAAGGCTCTCCTGCCCTCTGCTCTCAGGTGCAGGGTGGGGACAGGAAAGGGACGTTTCCTGCCACCGTCATCCCTGATACGGTCCGCGGGGAGGGGGGGTGTCCGTGCTTTTTTGGGGGGCTCACCCCGTGCCCTCGCTGCGAGGGATGACAACGGCACAAGAGGGATGCTCTTGCATGGATTCATGCCGCTGGCATTCCCAGCCTTCCGGTGGGGTGTGGAGCCGCTTCCCGGCCGGGCGCTGGCGGGGGGCCAGGCTGGCACGGCACACCCCCCCTCCTTCCCCATTCCAACCCCGCCGTGTTTTTCGTGTCCCTTGCAAAGGTTTGTTTGCTCGCCCCTCCCCTGGCCAGGTGAAGGCGAGCTGGAAGCGCGGGTGTTTATCAGCCTTCCCGAGATTAGGAAACTCCTTCTGCTGCCCGTGTCCGGCCGCTCCCGTGGGCTCCGGCCGCTCCCCTGGGCTCCCGCTGGGGGAGCTGGTTTGGCCCGTGCTGGTGGGACCCGGCGAATCCAACCCTTCCCTGAAAAACACGGGGAAACTGAGGCACGGAGCATCCGTGCCAGGAAAACCGAAGACCCCCCCGAATCTGCCCTCGGGGGGGAGGCAGCACCCACGTCTGCCCCCCTTGTGTGTGCCTCAGTTTCCCTCTGTGTGTGCCTGATGCTCGGGGGTCTTCCTGCTCCCAGCTGGATGGTGAGGAGATCGCTCTCCTGGCTGGATTCCCGGTTTTCCCTCCCCCTCGGCTGGGATTCTGTGGATTGCTGGAGCTGGCTGAGCTTCCCCTGCCTTGGCCCGAGTCTGCCGGGGTCCTGTGGGGCTGTGGCTGCTTGGCAGGCAGAGGAGGGGGGCGGATGCGGGGCCGTCATCCCGGGGGTCATCCATCCATCCATCTGTCCGTCCTTCTGTCTGTCCAGCCATCCCTCGTGGCGTCCAGGAGCCGTTGCTGGTTTCCTGAGGGGACATCAGTAGATTTGCCTGCTTAGGGCCCCCCCATTGTAAGCAGAGTGGCATTGAGGGACGATCCTCCCCTCGGAGCCTTGGGGGGGTGGGATATAGTGGAGATCCCTGTTGGATGCTGCTTTTGGGGGCTCAGAGGGGACCCCTCGTGGAGCTGAGCTCTCAAACCTGGAGCATCCCCCAGCCCTGGTATGAGGTGGGGAAGTTTGGGGAGGGTCCACTGTGCCATTCCTGCCTTTGCCCAGGGTGGGGGGGAGCAGGATGGGGTGTGGTGTGGAGCCCCCCCCATCCTGCCTTCTCCTCCTGTCCTGGCACCGTCACCCCTGCGAGAGGGATGAGGTGCTCCCCACACTGCCCAGCTGCTCCCTGGGGAGGGGGCTCTGAGGCTGGGGGGCTGCACTGCTGTTGGGGGGAACACAACTCCCCCCCCCCATTACAGTCTGTGCTGTGGTGTCTGGGTGGGATCCTCTGCCATCCTCACCTCTGTCACCCCTGCAGGAGTGGCCTCATTTTGGGGTCCTGGTGCCCAGACCCTCCCACAGCCCCCCCTTCCAGCTCAGCTAGTGCTGGCAGGGAGCCCCCCCCGCCGCTGTCCAACCCCCCCAGTTTACCAGGGTGGATTAGGACGGAGCACGGCCTCACATTCCTGCCTCCCTCCCTTCCCGGCCTCCCCCTCGCGCTGCTGTTTGACCATGTCCGCAATCCCAGCTCCTCGTCCCCTCACCCCAGCGGGACCGGTGCCACAAACTGGTCCCGGCCTCCCCGGGATGGGAGCTCCAGTACCCCAGCCCCTGGTTCTCCAGGTAGCTGTGGGGGCACGCGGCACCTTGGGGTGGGGGACGCCCGTGGGTGTCCCCCCTGTCTCTGGTGGGACTCCGAAGCCCCCAGCATCCCACACTCCCCCTTTTCCCAGGAGCAGAGCCTGCGGGTGGGCTGCCGTGCCGGG